TGACGAACGCCTGTTCGGTCCGTGGCACTCCCAGGGGACAGCTGCAGCTGAAGGCCGCACGTTCCAGCGTGAACTCCTGAGTCTCTATGCTGCGAGGAGGCTCGAGATACCCTCCATCCACCGCTCGGGAAGGCGTCGTGGACCTGCTGTCGGGGGGGGCCGGTTTCCGACCGCAGGCGCGCCCTCCGCGGAGCCACCGCCTGTCACCGCGACACTGCTACTAGGAATGGGCGAGCTGTCGGGGGCATATTCGGCCTCCACCAAGACTCTGTGCCTGGGGCGCTGATAGGAATGAGGAGCTGTAGGAACGCTTGTCTGCCTGTCTCTGACAGAAGGAGGAACCGACCCGCTGCGGCTCACACCCGCGTGCTCTGTCTGTAACTCTCCCTGGCGACTGATGCAGCTCACGGCCGCTGGTTGGCGACTGTCTTCAGGCGAAACGCCACCTCCAGATTTGCAGCAATCGTCAACCTCAGATTTACGATTGTCTTCAAGCGGGTCGGTTCTGCGTCCAGGGAGCGCGCTCGCGACGGCGTCCGCCGCGCGCCCAGCAGCCCGGGCCAGGGCCGCGACGGCCGCCCAGAGGGGGGCCTGCGCAGCCTTTGCGGCGGCAGCGGCGCAGGCGCACGCGGCGGCGGCGGCGGCTGCGTCGGGCGTAGCACTGGCGCCGACTGCGCGGACGCTTGGGGCGTCAGCAGCGTCGGCGGCGAAGGCGGCCCGGCGCGGGGCGCGGGCCGCCGGGCACGGGCGGCGCGGCGCGGGGCGCGGGCCGCCGGGCACGGGCGGCGCCGACTCGCCCGAGGGCGTCGGCTGCGTCCGCGGCCCTGGTTGGCGCGCGCGCGTGGGCCGCCGAAGCCGCGTCGGCCCCCCAGAAGGCGCTGGCGGCGGAGGCCGCGGCGGGGCAGCCATCGCCAGCGGCGCCAGCGGCGTTGGCGGCGCCAGCGGCGGCGGACGCGCCCAAGGGGGAGGACGCCTCCGACGCGTTGGCAGCGCCAACCGCGTTGGCCGCGCTGGCGAGCCCAGGGGGGCGGCCGCCGGCCGCGGCAGCAGCGCCCAGGCGGCGCTGATTCGCAGCACGCCCTTGTCGGCTCCGCCGCGCCGCCGCAGTGTCCATCGCCCGGGGCTGAGCGCCAAACGCGCATGGGGGGGGCGCGCCGTCTGGGCTGCCAGGATTACCAGGGTTGCGACTGAAGGTCGCCCTTTTACTCTGCACTGCCAGGCATCTGCTTGGGACCCCGCTACTTCCTCGGCTGAAGGCCGAATTATTACTCGTGCTGTCGCCAGGAAACACGGGATTAATCGGCGAATCCGACGTGGGATTGATCGGCATGCTGGGGACTGGATCTGCCTGAGATGCTGGCTGCGCTGCAGGGTCACGACCCAGGGGGCAGCTGAAGGCTGCACTTCCGGTGAAAGAATCCTCCAGATATATAGTCGTCAGTCGCCCTGGTCACCACGGCTGGAGCCGCCTCGAAATTCTGAGTTCGTGGTCCCCTGAGGCTGGTGCTGCTGCAGCTGCTTCGGCTGCTGTTGCTGCCGCTGCTGCCCTGCTGGTGCGTCTGCCCGCTGGGGGCCTGTTGGTGCTGCAGCGGCGCGGCCGCGGCGGCGCCGGCCGCGGCGGGCCCAAGCGCGGCAGCGCGGGCCACGGCGGCCGCGGCGCCGGCCGCGTGGCCGCGTGGCCCGCGGCCGCAGCGGCGGCGGCGGCGGCCGCCGCGGCGCTGGCGGCCGCAGGGGCGGCGGCGGCGGCACCGGCCGCCGAGCCCGCGGAGCAGGCCCCAGCGGCGCCCGCGGCGCCGGCGGCGCCCGCGGAGCCAGCGGCCTCGCCGGCGGCGGCGGCGCCAGCGCCGCGCCTGGCGCCAGCGGCGCCTGCGGCGCCAGCGGCGTCGGCGGCGCCCGCGGCGCCACAGGCGGCGGCGGCGCCCGCGAGCCGACGGCGCCGCCGGCGCAGGGGCCGCCAGCGACGCCGGCGGCGCCCGGCTGCAGCAGAGGCGGCCGCGGCGGCCGCCGCCGCGGCCGAGGCGGCGGCCGCCGCGGCGGCGGCGGCCGCGGGGGGGGCAGCGCCGGCGGCACAAGCCGCAGCAGAGGGCGGTCCGCGGCGGGCCGCGCAGCCAGGCAGCCAGCAGGGGGCGGCAGCCCTGGCGGCGGCCGCGGGCCGCGCGGCCGCGCTGTCAGCAGGGGCCGCGGCGGCGGCCGCGGCGGCGGCCCCGGCCGAGCAGCCGGCCGCCGCGGCGGGGGCGGCGCAGGCGGCAGCCAAGTGCAGCGGCAGGCCAGGCGGCGGCGCCGCGGCGGCCACGGCAGCCGCGCCGGCGGTGCCAGCTCGGCGTGCGGCCGCCGCCCGCCGCTGCTGCCGCCGGCAAGCCGTGCGCGCCGACGGCGACATCAAAGCGAGGCTTGCGACACAGAGACCCACGGCCGCGCGAGGGCTCACCGTGGGGATCGTGCGAGAAGAAAGAAAGCCTGCTGCAGGCGCGCACGCCTCGGGCCAGCCCCTCGGCAGCAGACAAGCACGAAGCCGCAGGGCGACGGTTTCGTACTTGAGCCAAAGGCTTGAGCCAGCGTGAACAATTACCCCGGTGGTGGTCGGGACCTCGTGGGGTCGCGCATTGAGAAATTCACATTGCCGGATGTCTGGGCAAAGGTGCGGGGGTCACAGAAATGGGTTCGCAGACCGTGGCACGGAACACGTGCGCGGCCCAAGAGGAGGGCTATCGGACGTACTGGAGCAGTACGGAGAGGGTCCGGGGCGCGCAAACATGGATTAGCGATCCATGGATTTGGCGCGCGGTCGCCAAATCCATGGATCGGGGGAGGTGCCCTCCCCAAAATGCGGGCGGTGCCCAAATCCAGGGTTTCCCGCGGAAACGGGACCCGTCGCTAATCCACGCCCCCTTAATCCATGTTTGCGATCGCCTGAGAAGGGGCCATGAGATCTGGGGAGACACCGTGGCCCCCGCCATGCCATCTGGCCCTCCCTGGTCACCGCCCCCCTCTTGAACGCACCCGACGAGCGAGCGAGGGCTTCTATTCAAAAATCTGTCCTCGAATTGCCGATCCTCGATCCCTGCACCTCCTTAGAAGACGAGCAAGTTGCAGAAACATAAACTAGGCCCCCGACGAGCGAGCGAGGGCTTCTATTAAAAAATCCGTCCTCGCATTGCCGATCCTCGATCCCCGCACCCCTTTAGAAGACGAGCAACTTGCAGAAGCGACAACTTTCGGAGATCCGCGCGGATTTCTTGGAGCTGCGCTGGGACCCCCCTCCCCGGCGCGCGCAATGCAACAGGGGCGGCGCCGGAGGGTTCGCCAGGGGGCTCCAGCGCAGATGCAAAGAACTCCGCGCGGAGCTCCGACTTGTTGATGCCAATTGTTCTTCTGCGACTCCTGGCCTCCCCGCCGTCGGGGATCTATAGACCCGGGTCAATCCAGACCCGGGCCAGTCAGGCTCTGCAAGACCCTGTGCAAGATCGTGCAAGATCCTGCAGGATATCCTGCACGCAAGGCTGGGTCAATGCGCGCCTGGCTCCGCACGACCAAGCAAGATCCAACGCTCTGGCTCACCCCCGCTTGCATTGACTCCCGTCTCTCGAGCCCCGACGACGGGGGAGGAGGAGGACGGGAAGGAGGAGGAGGAGGACGAGGAGGAGGAGGAGGACCCCCGTTTGCATTGACCCCTGTCTCTTGAGAGCCCCGACGCCGCACGCCAGAACGACTTTTAGGGCCAAGGGCGAGCTTCGGAAAGCGCGGCGGCCAAGCCCAGGCGCGCACCTGAGTCTCGCCAGGCGGGCCGGCACCTCAGACGACACTCCGGCGAAGGGTCACTCTTACACTCTCACCACGAGGGCACTTTTTGAACAACCAGATCAGATGTGATTGGTTTGGAGTGTTGGGTGCAGCTACATATTCCAAGCACAAGCAACATGCCGTTTTCGAAAACACAAGAAGCCCCACCCAACTACCCCAAAAAGGTGTCCACATTATCCTTGGCAGTCTCGAGCCTCAACGATCCCCATCGCACAGGGTCCCCCAGGACTGCCAGAGGGCCCTTCAGACTCAGGCGCCCGCGCCCGCGGCTGCGGCCGCGCCGGGGCGGCGCGGGAAACCTGTGGTGCCGGCAGCGCGCCAGGCTCTCAAAGCAGGACCGTAGGACCTGGACCTGCGCGGCGGCGAGCCCAGGGGGGAAATCAGAGGGGGCGGGCCTTCACAGAGGGCTCGGAAGGCCTCCAGCCTTCCGAGAGACAACTTCTGAGCCTGCTCCGAAGACAGAGACGGATCGCCAGCCAGAGGCCTTCTGAGAAGCCCTGCCGCCTTCTGAGAAGGCCCGCCCCCTCTCATTTTCGCCATGGGCTCGCCGCCGAACGACGTCGCGATCTGTTTGCAACACGGCGAGCGGGCGTCGCGACGACTTCGGCGTCGGTTTCTGTCACTGCGTGGATCGTTCAACCTTGAAGGATCGCAACTTCTCGCCAGCGCAGATCGCTCGATATCGGCCGATCATGGGCCACTGGCGGCGTTCAACCTCGAACGCCCGCGCTGGGCGCGGGGGTCGCCGCCGCCTCGACACGACACGATCTTACCGCACGTGGCCTCCCCCCCCACACCTCTGGACCTCTTTTGGCGGCGCGCACAGGGTGGGGGGAGGGGGGCGGGCTTCTTAGAAGGAGGCTGCTTCTCAGAAGGCGCCAGCCTTACATCTGTAGATAAGGCCCGCGCCTTCTAAGAAGCAGGGGTGCTTCTTGAAGCCCTCCCCCCTCCCCCCACCCCCCTCTGCGCGCGGCTGACTTTTCTTCATCCAGGATCGTTTTTGACAGCCTCGAGACCCGGAAACGTGCTCCAGGGTGGCGAGATTGAAGAAACACGTCGGCATAGTCGCAAGACCTGCGCCCGAACGCTGGCGAAGCCAGAACCATCGACGAAACTGGAAGCATGCAAGGCGATGCTACGATGTCACTGGAATGACTCCAAACTGACACTGTCATACCCGCGCGACAGACGCTCTGGTCCTCTGGTTGGCATGCCGCACGTGGAGGATCTTCTTGTGCGAGTCGATCTTGGCATCGAGCTGCCGCTTGCCTACGAGGGACGCGACCTCACGCAAGGGCTCAGAGAAGGGGGCTAAGCAGTGAGGAATATTGGAGACGCTCGAGGCTGGAAAGCAGATGCGCAAATCGGCGGAACACACGAACCAAGAGGTGGCCGCTCGGACAAAGCCGGCGACGCCAGAGACCTGAGGAATGGGCGAAGGAGGAAGCCACAATAATCACATTACATGACATCAAGCTACTGATACTCGCACCCGACACGGACCACACCAAACACCCGCTTCCCTTTACACGTCGGTCGGAAGAAGTATGTAAGAATATGACGTAGGAAGGTGGATCAAGTATATTGGGTCCAGGCCCTCCCAGGTAATAACAAAGCACAGCAAGCTCATGCCGATTCTTGAAGTAGGAAGGCGCCTAAACTACAGTCAACCCGTATTATAAGGATGCGCGGTAAGGATGCTAGGTCCCTGGAGGGCCATGTTAACGTTGTTCGAACGAGGTTGGCAACGAAAGTCGCTAAGGATGGGCCGAAGGGGCAAGGATGCAAGGGTACCCTTTGGAAACTTGCCCATCCTTATTACGCGGCGCAACAAAACAAACAGCAGGAAAAACAATAGAACAGCAGGAGGCGGAACAACGGAGGAGCAACGAACACCGGAAGGAGGAGGAGAAGGAAGAGGGAGGAGGATGAGGAACAGCAGCAGCAGGGCGGAGGCCCAGCCATGGGGCAGCCACAGGAGCACCAAGCACGCCGACCCTGTTGGCGTGTGGGGTGTCTGTCCGGTCCGGTCGACGGGGAGCCTTCTGTCGCCCCCTCCCGTCGAGGGAGAGAGAGAGAGAGAGAGAGAACCCTTCCTCGTTCAGGGAACGGGTTCCCAGCTTGAGAGAATTCCGTCCACGTCCTCATAACGTCAAAGGGAAGCCCCTTCCCTTTGTTCCTTCTCTGGCGGGGGAGAGGGGGGGGTCCTGGGGGGGTGCGGTCAGATTCGCATCGCCTCTGGGGGTCCTCCTCTTCCACGCCGGTCCTTCTCCGGCGCGCCGGTCCTCCTCGGGTCCTCCCCCCCAGGCGGGGAGGAGTCCTTCTCCTCCTCCTTCTCCTCCTCCTCCTCTTCCTTATCTCCGCCTCCTCCTCCTCTTTCTCCTCCTCCTCTTCCTCCTCCTGGTCGTCGTCGATGTCCTTCAGGGTCGGCGGCATAGGCCGTCAGGCCTTCACACTAGCGAAAGGACCATCAAGAGCCGCAGCAGGAGGCGCAGCAAACGAAACAGCAGGAGCACCAGAGCAGCAGGAGGCGCAGCACGAGCAGCAGCAGCAGGAGCAGGGACGAGGAGCACCGAGGCAGCATACAATAATAATATAAGGAGCAATATAAGGAGCATGAGCATTGGAGGAAGAGCTCTGGAGCAGCGGGAGGAACAGTACAATGATAATGATGAGGAGCAGGAAAAGCAGGAGGAGGAATAGATAAAGGAACAGCAAGAGAAGCAGCAGGATGCGGGGCAAGAGCAAAAACAGGAGGAGCACAAGAGCACCAAGAGGAACAACGGAGGAACAAGAGCATCAGGAGGAGCAGCATCAGCAGCAACAGCAAGGAAGACCAGCCAGAGGAGCAGCCAGATCAGCAGCAAGGTAAGAAAGAAGACTAGGAGGGGCACCCACAGGATCAGCAGGAGAAATAGCGAAAGGAGCAGCAAGAGCCGCAGCAGGAGGCGCAGCAAGAGGAGTAGCAGGAGCACCAGAGCAGCAGGAGGCGCATCAAGAGCAGCAACAGGAACAGGGAGGAGCACTAGAGCACAAGCAATAATAGCAGAAATAACAACATCATGAGGAGCGCTGGAGGAAGAGCACCGGAGCAGCAGGGGGAGCATGACAATTAACATGAGGAGAAAGAGGAGGAGCAGAAAGAACACTGGAGAAACAAACACATCAGGAAAACGGTGAGGAGGAATATGAGGACCAGCAGCAGCACGAACAACCAGAGCAGAAGAGAAAAGGAAGACCAGCAGCATGAGGAGCAGCAGGAGCAACTGCAGCAGGAACAGGAGAGGAGCATCAGGAGGAGCAGCAGCAAAAGCAGTTGGAAGAGCAACAACAGGAGCAGCAGGAGGGCTAGCCAGAGGATCAGCATCAGCAAGAGCAGCAAGAGGAACAGTAATATCAGCACTAGGATGGCAGCAATAGGAGGAGCAGGGAGGAGCAACACGGGGAGCAGCAAAAGGTGCAGCAAGAGGACCAGCTGGAGGAGCAGCCAGAGGAACCATAAGAGCAACATAAGGAGCATGAGAAGCAGCAGCAACCGCAGAAACAGCAGGAGCAATAGTGGAAGGAGCAACAAGAGGAACAGCAGGACCAGCAGGAGCAGGGAGGAACAACAGGAAAAGGAAGGAGGAGCAGCAGCAGCAGCAAGAGCAGCAGGAGGAGCAGCCAGAGGAGCAGCAGTAGCAGCAGTGGATTTTTCCCCAATGGCTCCATGCAGATCGTGGTCGAAGCACAAATTGTCCTGATGAATTCGATATCGACCCTTTGTAACAGTGTTCCAGGCTAATTGGATAACATGTCTGTCCATTGTTATCTTAGGATTGTGAATCCTTGGTGGGATACTGTATTACGCGTTCATGAGACCAATCGCATTCAGCACTCTAGTTTGCATCGCCGGTTACCTCTCGAGACCATCGGCAGCCTGAGGCAGGAGGCCGCAACTGCCCGCTCGCTCATCCCAATGGGGCGCAAGCGAGAATCCGTGGCATCGGCTCGGGCAAAACATAGCCTTGTCCTGTCTTGTCCTATCCACTCCAGGCTCAGGAAAGCCAGAGCAGCACTGGCACGCTCCGTTCTCATGGGATGTCGGTATAAATCAAAAAAAGACGTTGATTTCCACATTCCATATTGCGTTTCTCTCTCTCTCTCTCTCTCTCGGCATCTCCCTGGCGAACCAGTGTAATTGCATTCGGTGCGATGCAGAGCTGTAGTCGCAGAGCACAGATGCTGCGTCAAAAGATTCCTTGCTCCGCCTCTCACCCCTTCACCTCGCCCGACGACGCTGCGCATCCTTGAGCATCTCATCGGACGGGGAGCAGAGGCGGCGTTTCATTTGCGTCTGTGCCGTGGCATTGCGCTGGGCAAGGGATGGCTTCCACAGCTCCCAAGCGTTGCAACCTTTTTGTAACAAGTTCGGACAACACATCACACATGGTTATGTGGCGACGCTCGGCGGGGCTCGCGTGACAGCGGAGACGAGTGGACCGCGCTCGCAGTGCTCGGCGCCACTGTCGATTTGCACCATTGCCATCACTTGCGCAATGCAAAGCGCCACATCCGAGTATTCTTGCGGGGCTGTCGACCCTCCCTCCAGCGCATCTTGCTGCGAGGTGAATTCAACTCCCCCGAGTCAACTCCCCCGAGTGGTTTGGTTATCTCCAATGTATGCATCGTTGGCTTTGGTTCCCGCAGCGACGCAACAACGGCATGGCCTATTCGTATGTTTGCTAATCAACCGGATCCTCCTCGTGGTTTTTGGGGAAAACAGCCCATGCGCGCCGTAGGAGGCTCTGGAACGGGATCGTGCACGATTCACAGAACATGCTCTGACCGCGCACCGGAACAATAACAATCAGTGCCATCGCCCTCGCTATGTCGCGTGGCGCGCATGCTCAGCATGGTCGCAGTGCACTAACCCAACGGCTTTGGGGGGCTCTTCACATATCTCACAGCATGAAGCGCTGCATATCGCCGCGCTGCGGCTGCCGACGCAACGATCCAATAGACCAGCGCGCATCCGATGGGCACGACGCACGCGAATATTTCCGCCCCGCAAGTCGAAGCCGACTATCGAGAGCGAGTTGGACCGGAATCTCATTCGCCAGCTCCGGCATGAAGCTTCGTGGCGCCTGCGGCTCTTGGCGCATGCGGCGTCTTAAAGAGTCAGCGCTTGCGTGGTGTTCTTCTGCGTTGGGGGGGGCGCCCGCCCGCGTCTGCCAAGGGGGAGTTGGCAGAGAGCGAAGAGAAAGGTGCAGCATTTTATGTCGACGGGCAATCTCATGCCCACTTGGCAACACACGCTGCGAATAACGTCGTCTTCGCCAGACGCAGCGCGCCGAGCGCGCGCGGTGGTCCATTCGTGCGTCGATCGCAGTAACCCGGGTGCGCGCGGGTATGGCAAGAACTCCCAAATCCGAAGATGCCCGTAAGCATCGGCGGTGGGCCGCAAGCCAGTATACTGCTGAATGGTAGCTGCAGCTGCAGCGAAGCCATCTAGGAGTTGAGCGGCCGTTTGCGTTCGCACGGATGGCCGTGGAGATGGATGCATTGGGAGTTGAGGTTGGCGACGACCCAGACGCAGTCTGGGCCGCGGCCAACCTCAGCGGCGCACAAGACGCGCTCACTTTTTGGGCGCGTGCCGGGCGGATGCAACCTGCATGCGTTCCCCCCCATTCGACGTTAGCGCTGCCGAGATTATGTGGCCCGCGCCCGACCTGGATAAAAACGGCCGTGAACGCGTTGGCCTCGCGCTCGAAAACTGCGTCCGAGTGTTGGAACAATGCTTCCACGATGATGCGGTTGGTTGATTACGTGCGCTGCTCGACCATGTCGGCAACGAATGTCGTTCGATATCAGAACTGCATGTCCCGCCAAATCATTCCTTCGGCGCGTCGCAGCAAGCAGCTGGCCACCGCGCTCACAGTCCCCAGGGGCTTATCTTACAATTAAGATGAAGTGTTTGTGCGCGGGCGTCTGGTCGTATGGCGCGCGACAAACCGCGCGCCCCCCGCCGCGAGATTGCGTTGAACCATCTTGATAAGGAAAAACGTTGTCTGGGCGACGCTGCCAGAGCGCGACGGTTGGCCAAGCGCGTCGCGCGCGAGCCATGCTGGACAACGTGTGAGCAACGGCGGGCGGCCAGCGCGCTGCGCTCCCGCATCGAACGACTGTTGCGCGTGCCGCGATGCGAGCGTCGATGCAATTATGGAGCTCGTGAGCCTTTGGTCGGCTGCCCAAATCTTCAAAATATGCCTCGGTGGTTGGGGGGCCGCCGCGCAGTTCATTCGG